GAGCGTTCGTAATCTGAAGTATTTTATCAACGACAATGGAACAAAAATGGTATGTTGCGTTTATCCCTTTCTATGTATGGTTTTCTTAGCTCAGAACCTTAATTTCTTTCAACTCTAAAACTCTTTATATCTTTTGGTTATTTGATTTTTGACAGCAAAATCGGCGGTGAAAGTTTGAGAAATCGAGATGTTGTGAATAAGGACAGAATCAGCGAGTTTCCCGGAGATTTTCTTGTGAAGATATTATCTTCACTTCCTACAGAGAATGTCGTGTTTTGTCTAGACGTTGGAGATCTCTTTGGAAGCTGGTGCCAAAACTCAAGTTTGATTTGGCCCATACATTTTCAGAGAGTGTTTACAGGACTCTGATTTTAAATAAAGCTCCATTTTTGGAGAGTTTGTATTTGAAAATTGGAGATGAGTAAATTGGTACTGGATCTCTATAGGGAGGACGGCAAGCTAGTCACTTTTCCGAGTGTTTTATTTAGCTGTAATAACACACTTGAGATTTTGAGACTTTCCTTCTCGGGTTTGCTTGAAATCTCTTAGAAAGTTGTACCTTCAATATGTAAGATTCGAAGACGAAGAGTCTGTTTGCAACCTTTTTATGTGGCTGCCCTAGTCTTCAAGATTTGTTCCTGAGACGAAGTAATAATACCGATGTGACAACTTTCACTATTGCGGTGCCATCATTACAGAGACTAACCATAGAAGAGAAGGTCGTGGAGGCTATGTGATAAATGCCCCTTCTTTGGAATACTTGAACATCGAAGGGTTCGATGGTCTTGACTGTTGTCTGATTGAGAATGCTCCAGAGCTGGTGGAGGCAAAACTAGATATCGTTTCTTATATTACCAATGAGAACATTATGGTAGCTCTAACTTCAGCCAAACGTCTTGACTCTTACCTTATCATCCATAAAGGTAAATTTATGGTTTTCAAATTCTTGCAGTGGTTTTTTTTGTGCAATTGTACTAACTTTGATTTTTTTGTACTAATGTTTACCTCATGCTCAGATTAACTATCCTACTGGTACTATCTTCTATCAGCTGGTATCTTTGGAGCTAAGTACAGACAAAAAAAAGTGGCGGAATCTACTTTCGTTCATGCTCGATAGTTCTCCTAAATTGCAGATCCTCAAGCTCATCGAGGTAAGCAATTTCATTAGTTTTTTCTTCTTCCAGAGCTACACTTTCAGGTATTTTGATGATCTAATATCATATCAATTGCTTTGATTTCAGCCTAGATGTGATTGTAAAGATCGGGTGGGTTGGAAATGCATCCAACCGAAATGTGTACGAGAATGTTTGTTGTTCCATCTTGAAACATTCGTGTGGAAAAGATACAAATGGCAACAAGAAGATGAGAAAGAAGTGGCCACGTACATCCTTAAGAACGCAAGACGGTTGAAGAAAGCAACTCTCTCCACAAAACCCATCAAACCAAAAGAGCTCAAAAAGTTGGAAAGGAGGCGTGAGATGCTCAACGAGTTGGCTAGTGTGGCCAGGGCTTCAATGTTATGTCACCTCGAGTCTAGTATGGTGAGGGATTCAATTTCATGTCACCTCGTGTTCGAATCCAAGTGATCTCTTGAACTTTTACCAAACTGTTTTGGCCATAAAATGTAAAATTCTCAAGTTTGCCAATCAATAGGATGCTAAATCTTGGTGACATTTTGATGAAGAGACACGGAAGATAATTCAAGGAGTAATAGGAAAGAAAATTTTAACTTTTAGTTGTGTATTTTTTGCATATACATGAGAATTCCGTAGCTCTGTATTTAACTGCAGCAAAACAAAAGGTTTTAGCAATGAAAACTCCAATGGTGTTGCTCAAATGTTATGAAACTGTGACTGCAAATTAGTAAGAATAAGAGAATTTCACTTCATTGTTTTAGACACATAATACAGCTTTTGTATTTGTCTTCACTCTTCACTAAAGTATATTGATTGAAAATTTGAGCTTGCAATAAAAAGAAGTTTTGTATTTTGATCCACCACAGAGTTATTGCAATTGGTCCGGTTTGAGATTGCTCTACCAAATTTCAATTCCATGATTCTTTTGACCGCTTGGTAAGCCACTAACTACTACGGTACCTAACTTAGTTGAGATTAAGATGAATTTTTATACATTTGCTGTAATTTGTTTTTAGATGGAAATTTAGATTTACAAAGTAGAAGAATACATTTTGGATCAGAACAGAATCAATCTAGTACTATTAATTTTGTTTTTGTTTTTTTACTTTGAAAATCTTTAAACTTAGACAACTCATAAAGTATCATCAATAATCCATAATTAACTAAAAAACTTGTCAAAAAATAGTATTATTTTTGTTCTTCTTCACTTCACACAACACACAACTCGAAAGCTCAGCAATTTGTACCCAAAATCACTGCCGTATTCCTCCACAATAAACAAAATAAAGCGAGCACGAGTCCAGCGAGTTCTCGAGCACGAGTCCGGCGAGTTTGCCTTCTCCTTCAATGGCGTGAAACCCATTTCTTCTTCCCTTTTCCACTCTAAAATTCTTCATTTTTCCCTCAAATTCATAGAACTTGATTTTGTGCTTAAGCTCATCTTCTCTCGCTTTGATTTTATCCAGAAAAGAGAAATAAAAAATCATAAGAGAACTCAAAAAAACCCACAAATTACTGTGTTGGTAGTAAGATCTAATCCTCTTCCCATTTTCTCTCTCTATAGAGTAGCAATTAGGACTTCAATTTTCAGTTTCTTCGTAGTAAGAATCTCCATACATTGTTTCTTGATTCAAAAAGTTGACTTTTTTTCCTTCCTATATCTATACACTGGCATTTGGTACTTTTTCTAGTCCAATTCTTACATTTTCAAGTCAGAGTTGAGCTTGTGCCAAGATTCTTCAGTTGGGTTTACTAAAGTTTCGATATTTCTTGCTTTCGAACATTAAAG